TGATATGCCAGATATCTTTTCATTGTTACAAATTGAATATATTTAAAGCAGAGTGATTAATCACAAAAACAATATGTAATTATATATGTGTTTTCCAATGGTCTTAGGCAATCCCTGTGAAAGGGTTGTTCGACCCCCAAAGGGGTCGTGACCCAGAGGTTGAAAACTGCTGAATTAGATATTTGTGAGGTTATTCTTTAAAATCCATCTTTCTGCTGTAGTTTCAATTAGTATTTTGTGTACATAAAGACTTTATAAACAATTCAACACAGATCTGGTCCCTGCTTTTTTCTCCTTTTTGTTATTTCTTATTTTTGAAACATTATCAACTTGATTAAAACAGAAAACCAATAAAAACAAAACTAAATACTGGTACCTTGTACTAAATATATGTAGTTCATAAATTTAGAAAGCCAAATCTAACTAATGTATTTAAGTAACAAATGAATCCCCAAGGGAGAAGTTTTATTCATTAATGGTTTATCAGTAGTTGCTAAATGAATTCTGATGATTGTTTTTGTTAATTACATGTATTTAACAGAACTCACTGGGATGGAGAAATCTGGCTGTCAATCTCTTCATCTTTACATGGCTGAATTTTACCATAGTAAAGTGGATCACCAAGTGACTGCAAAATGGTCAGCTTTGTTTTCTGATTACCAGCTTCACATTCAAATACATAATCATCTTTGACATCCTGAAAAAGATAGAGCCACAAAAGGGGGCTAATGGAGACATCCAGTAAAGATGGTGGCCCAGGCAAATGTGGTACTCCCCGCCTCCTACAACCACATTGAAATTTACAACTAACACACACAACAACCATCATTCAGAACCATGAAATCTAGAGCTGAATGAAAGTCCTACAGCTAGGGAATTAAAGAAGAAGCACATCAAGTCTGGTAGGAGGGGCAGAATTGTGGACCTGGCTGGTCCCACACCCATGTGTGGCAGTTTAAAATTAGGAGGGATATGTTAGCCATGGAGGTTTCCCTGAGGAATACAGGGTCGCTGGACCACATCAGGCCCCCAGCCGAGGGTTCCAGAGCTGGGAAAAGAAGTCCCCATAACTTCTGGCTGTAAAAACGAGCAGGGAGTATGGTTGAGTGACATGAAGGTGGTGGGAGTCCCAGGCAGTTTCTCTTATAGGGCCCACGCACAGACTTACTTGGACTCACTCCCTCTGAGCTCCAGTGCTGGAGCTGCAGTTTGAAAGGAACCTGGGACATATGGGGAGGAACTAACTTGTCTGGTATTAGGGCAAGAGCTGGAGGGGTAGCTTTCTCCCAGACAGAAGTGCTGCCAGAGGCCAATGTTTCTGTGCTGAGCTCTCCCTATCATAGAGCTGACAGGCTGGGCCATATCTGAATCTCCTTCAACATGGCTTACACTTCTTACCCACCCTGGTCATCCCTGAGACACCCTCCCTACTTGCAGACTCATCCAAGCCATTTCCAGTGGCTTTTCCATATAACTGGCCTCTCCTGCCTCTTCTTTGGATTTTCCTAAAATCTCTCAAACAAGTAGCAGCTGACATCAGCATTCCAGGTACTTCTCAGTAAGGGGTCCCAGGCCCTGCATTCGCCACAGCCCGCCTTGGTTCACAGCTTGGCCTCCCCTGGGCACCTCCAAACTCAACATAAATAGCAGCCATCTACAGACTGCTTTGTAGCTCATACTGGGTAGCCCCAGGTAGGGCACAGGCAGAGGTTGACTTTGCACCTCCGGGGAGGGCCCAGAGGCAGTGCAACTGGTGATCAACTTCAACCACACGAGATTACAACCCTACCACTTTCACGAGTGACAGGGTGGACACAATGAACACCAAAGCCCCACTGAACCAAGTCCAGTTCCATAGGGTTGGCTTCTGCACAGCAGCTCTTCAACTCTAGTCCCAGCTGATTACCACAACCAATTGGCATGGGGGTCAATCCCTCCCAATGATACCAATACAAATCAAGGCTCACCTATCTTATGACAGTGCACATAGTTCATATAGGGGTGCTGCTGGGGTGCCCAGCTCAGGAAACTGGTGAGGCTGAGCCACTGGGCCCTAGAAGATACTTACCAAGTCTAGGAGACATAGCAGATCTACCTAATACATAGAAACAAATACAGGGACGCAGCCAAAATGCAGAGACAAAGAAATATGTCACAAATGAAAGAAATCTCCAGAAAAAGAACTAAAGGAAATGGAAACAAAAAACAAATAGATACAGAGTTCAAAACAATGGTTATAATGATACTCAAGGATCTTAATGAGATCAACAACATAAAAAAGGACCAGAGAGAAATGTAGCATACACTAACTGAAATAAAGAATAATTTACAGGGCTTCAACAGTAGAGTAGAGGGTGCTGAGTCAAATCAACAATTTGGAATATAAGGAAGCAAAAAAACACCCAATTAGAACAGCAAAAAGAAAAATCCAAAAATATGAACATAGTGTAAGGAGCCTCTGGGACAACTTCAAGGGTACCAACATTCACATCATGGGGGCACCAGAAGGAGAAGAGAGGGATCAAGATAATCTATTTGAAAAAATAATGACAGAAAAATTCCCCTATCTGGTGATAGAAATAGACATATAAGTCCAGGAAGCACAGAGAGTCCCAAACAGATGAACCAAAGAAGCCTACATCAAGGCACATCACAATTAAAATGCAAAACATGAAAGACAAAGAGAGAATCTTAAAAGCAGCAAGAGAAAAGCAGTTAGTTACCTACCAAGGGAGCACCTGTAAGACTGTCAGCTGGTTTCTCAACAGAAACTTTTCAGGCCAGAAGGGAGTGATAAGAAATATTCAAAGTGATGAAAAGAAAGGACCAATATTACTCCACCCAGCAAAGCTATCATTTAGAATTGAAAGTCAGATAAAGAGCTTCCCAGATAAGGAAAAGCTAAAGAAGTTAATCACCATCAAATCAGTATCATATGAA